TACGGGAAGTATATGAATAAAATCATAAAACAGACATCGCATCCAAGTTAATGGCCTCTTATATATCTACAATTTATATTTTATTTTATTACAAAATATATTTTTCATTGTACAAATATATCTTGATCCGCCTCTTACTGCATACAAACTGCGTCAAATTTTCCGATTTGTCGTCACATTGACAAGTGCATTGCGATCAGTGAATGTTTATATATTGCTGTGTGGGATTTAACCAACGACAATAATGCATGCACTAGTTAGTATTGATGTAGTTTAAAGCTATTCATAAGTTTAAAATAGCAAATCATTTCATTTTGTGGTAATTTGAAGAACTTATATTTTTGTGTGATGTCATAGTAAGTACTTCCCGTGTAAATTAGGCCCCGCCTCCTTACTGCACCTTAACTGTGCTGCGTAATAAAATCACCTTGATTTAATGAATATTGCAGAGATAAATGGTAGACTAAACGTTCTTTGTTAAAAATTTCCATTTTAAGACTTCGGTATCGTAATGCAACATGTGACGTCACAGTCCAAACGCTCCAAATGTCTTTTACGATTGGAAGAGGCGGTTCTGAGTTAAAACGGAATAGGTATCCAGTAATACACATCTGCGCTTCCCCAACGGTAGCACCGTCAACATAGTATCCGCGATATACATTTCATATCCAAATTTTGAAGCTTTATTAATAAACTACATACCTTCCAGCCTCCGTCCATTGTTTCCATGTGACAGTAAACTCGGACAGGACAGGAGCTGGTCTCAGAGGGATAAATATAGTGCACTCCTGAGTTGGTGTCACCATTTTCAAGAAAATCCTTACATTCTAAAATAAAAACTAAAAAGGGAAATTTTGAAAATAGCATTTGGAGACATATTAGACATTTTGTATTAAAATTAAGACCTATGCAAGCGCTGCTATATACACAATTTTAAGATAGAAATGCAATCTATTTGATAGAAAACAGGTAATATCATAATTGATATATCTTTTTCGTTTTGCTATAAGATGATTTTTAAGTTGTACGTAAAAAATAAAAATTCCAGCTTTGTCGTTACCTTATTTTTTTGATAATTTATGCCAAATGAAGAAATTTCTTTTCAAAATACTTGCGTGAAGGACAGATGGTATAAAATTGAATAGTTTTGCAATTGCAGTTTACAGACAATAACCCCCCAGGTGGCTCCCCTTAAAGTTTTCATGATATACATTCCTGTGTTAAACTCCTTTTCCCTCTTGGCATCCCCTCCTATCTCCGAAGACCATTAATTTTAGAAAAAAAGCTATCTGTTGTCAATGAGACTGTCTGCTTGTTTATTAAAATAAAAACTTTTCAGGGACTTCTTCTAGGGAAGACGATTTTGGGGGTTGTCATGTTGTAAATGTTGTATTTACTGCCACCCCGTTCAACTCTACGACCGATGACCGTGATATGAATTGTTATTTTCTTAGTATCTGAATATGCTTGCACATAAATATAACTCAGGTTCGGAATGTTTATCCTCAGATGTTTTAAAGATGTTTTGTTCCCAAACATTCCCATGTAAAACTTAGGTTCCTTCATAGCTCCACTCTTGGGACCAAAAACTAAATAGATTTGAATCTACAGTATCTGAGGGTGCTTGCATAATAATTTGAATGCTACATTAATGAATCATTTTAGAAACCTGTTCTTCGCTCGTATTCTGTGACTGCCTGGCCTGGACAGATGAAAACGACCTTGAGATTGAAGGTCAATTCCGTTGGAACGATTCAAACGTGACCTTCACATATTGGCATCCAAAAGAACTGAGCATTGATAATCCATCTCCAGCTCTAAAGAGAGACTGTGTGGATCTGTTTCAGAACTGAAAAATGGAATGACAGATCGTGTTTCTTTTTGTTTATATGTAAAAATATTATGTTCTCTAACTGTAAAGTCTATAATTGCATTGCACATTTTATTTTTTTCACTTATCCTTTTTAAGATCTTGTTAAATAATTTTCAGTTTATTTTTATCGGGCTTAGTAAAATTTGATTTTGTAGTGCTTTAGTTGACGGCACCACAAATCCCGCTAATATATAGCGAACAAATAACAAACGCGAGCTGGCCACAAAATATACTTGTATTGTGTACTGTATAAGCCCGCGTAATCATGGGGAGATAACCAAAAAGAACACTGTAAAAATGGAAAATAAAAGATGTGTGTAAAATCAGTCCGTTTGCACCACACTGCCCCCCTCTAGGCTAAGTCCACTAAAGGTTAAGCCGATCTGGGCGATGTATTTCACGGCCAGCTCGAGTCCGCAGTGGCCTCGATTCCTGTTCAACAATAATCTCCTTCTCAGGTGTCTCCAAGGAATCATCTGAGTCCATGTTTTCTTTGTTTGGCGCTCTGTCTGTTTCACCGTTCACTTCACCTTGATGTTCCTGTATGGTTTCCAAGTCGTTTTGTTCTGGGAGACTATATCTGTTGACACAGCCAGGTACGAAATCAGAGGTATATGCCTTAAGACGATCGTGATGAATCACAGTCGACCTTTTTCGTCCTTGTACCTCGTACAAAACAGGCCCGTATTTCTTTTTGACGATAAAAGGCCCCTCCCAAACAGATTGCAAGTTGGGTGACTTGTCTACTTGTTTAGCCATTTTGTTGACATAAACCAAATCGCCGACTTCGTACTGCTTACTGGAAACACGCAGATCATAAAGACGCTTTTGCTTTATCTGTGCCTGCTGAAGAGATTTTCGCGCAAAATCATGGGCTGTGCTCAGAGCATGTTTAAGCTTCTCAACATACGTTGGGGTGTCCAGTGGGTCTCGAATTGTCTCTGGGTCCTTAAAAACTAGTTCGGCTGGTTGGTGTACCTCTCTACCTAACATCATAAAGTTTGGGGATATTCCTGTGGCTTTGTGTGGAGTGCTTCGGTATGCAGAGAGTAAGAGGGGAAACTGCTCATCCCAAGTTTTCTGCTCTTTGTCAACATAACACCGGATCATTTGCAAAACATTCCTATTGAAACGTTCAACCTGACCGTTAGAAGAAGGATGATAAGGTGTGGTCCTTGTTTGTGCAACTCCTAGCAATTTGCACACAGTCCTGAACAGGTCACTTTGGAAATTTCTACCCTGATCAGTATGGATCTCGAGAGGGGCGCCAAACCCAGCGCTATAAACTCCTCCACAAGCTTTTTTGCTGTTGTCTCACTGCATTGGTCAGGAACAGCATACGCCTCTACCAATTTGGTGAACTGATCAGTTATTACCAGAATGTACTTATTACCACTTGACTTGCAGGGAAGGGTCCAAGCACGTCAATATGCAAACGATCTAGTGGAGCACCATAAATATAGGACTGTATTGCTGCTTTGCTTTTACGCGAAGCTCTCTTTTCCGTGCCACATATGGCACACCTTGATACATAGTGCAGAACATCTGCTGTCAGACCATACCAATAGAAGCTGCGTTTTACTCTATCCAGAGTTCTTCTTTCGCCTTGGTGTCCAGAGTACGGTGGATCATGAAAACTTTCTATTACTTTCCGCCTGAGTGATCTTGGCACAAACAGTCGCAGTGACCGTGTGTCTGAATCATGCAACCTTTGGTAGTGGAGTATCCCATTGACCAGACGAAACTGCTGAAGATTGAGGAAATAACTCCTAGCTGCTGGGCCAAGGATTCTTACGTCACATGACTCCGGTTTGTCATGTAACAACCAGTTGGTAACGAGTTGTGCTTCTTTGTCCTCAGATTGTGCGGTTTTTAGATCCTCCTGTTCCAACCAGTTGCAAGTAGCAGGCTCAGATTGTCTTACTTTACGAACTGTCAGTGGTACAATATAATCAACATCCTCTGTAAATCTCTCCAACTGCTCTTCAACTCTCTGGCAGTATGCACACCCTCCATAAGGTAACGACTTCGAACAATAACCAGCACTGTAACAATCACAAGTTGTCTTATCTAGCCGAGATAAGGCGTCTGCATTCCCATGTGATTTTCCTGCTCGGTGCTGAATGACAAAAGAATACTGACTCAATTCTTCGAGCCACCGAGCCAGTTGACCTTGTGGTGATTTAAAGCGAAATAACCATGCCAAACTGCTGTGGTCAGTTCTGAGGTGGAATTTTCTGCCTAACAGATAATGTTTGTACTGATGACAAAAGGCAACCACTGCGAGCAATTCTCGTCGAGTGACGCAGTACCGCTCCTGTACAGGTCCTAGGAGTCTGTTGGAGAAAGAAATCACCTTTTCAACGCCATCCTGTTCCTGAGAGAGGACCGCTCCAAGAATCCCAGCTCCAATGCTGAAATTGGAAGCATCCGTGTCAAGAGTCATGGTACCCTCAGCAAGTGGGTATGCAAGGATTGGAGCTGAAGTAAGAGCAATTTTTAGCTCCTCAAATGCTGTCGCCTATTCTTCACCCCATTGGTGCTGTACACCTTTGCGTGTGAGGTTGTGGAAAGGACGAGCTATATCAGCATACCCTTTCACAAATCTGCAATAGTAGTTCGTCAACCCTAAAAAGGCTTGGAGCTCCTTGAGGCTTCTTGGAATTGGCCATCTCTGCACATCTTGAATCAGCAAGGGATTCGCACGAACCCCATCTTTACTTACAACGTGACCCAAAAATACAACTTCTTCTTGGAATAAGCTGCATTTTTTTGGCTTTAACTTTAGTCCAAATTTCCGAAATCGGAGAAACACCTTTCTAAGATTACTTAAGTGTTCATGAAATGTACTTCCTGTAATAATTACATCATCTAGGTAGATAAGAAGGATGATCCACTGAAGTCCTCTTAAAACCAATTCCATTCCCCGTTGGAAAGTAGAGGGCGCATTGCAGAGCCCAAAAGGCATCCTTGTGTATTCAATCAAGCCATGTCTGGTAATAAATGCAGTCTTGGGTCTGTCACTTTCAAGAACTTCAAACTGGTGATACCCACTCATTAGATCCAGTGTGGAGAACAGTTTGGATCCCCCTAAGGTGTCAAGACACTCCTCAATCTTAGGCAGAGGTTAAGCATCTTTCTGTGTGACTTCATTTAACTTCCGATAGTCCACGCACCAGCGTACTCTTCCATCTTTTTTTCGGACTAACACTACAGAAGATGCCCGTGCGGAGCTTGAGGGGACTACCACACCATTTTCCAATTGCTTTTTCAAATAGTCAGCTTCTTCACTCTGAAAACTTAGAGGTGTTCGTCTCGCAGGTTGTCTGATAGGTTTGGCTCCATCTGTGTTGATTTGGTGCTTAATTACAGTAAAAGTACCAAGGTCATATTCCTCTCTGGAGAAAATATCCTTAAATTCAGAGAGTAAGCTGACAAGTGCCTGTTGTTCAGATTTCGTCATATTCTTGGAAGATTTCTCTGCAAGCTCCAGTAAGTGGGCTGGTACAGTTTCACTTTCAGCTTTTCTACCTATCGTTTCATCAACTTCAATTTGATGTGCTGTATCTACACTTACTACTGCTGAACCAATATCCTCACTGACTTCTGTCAACTTTCCCAAATGGGTTCCCTTAGCAAGGCGAATTTTCTTATCTCTGACATTTAAAACCTGAACAGGTTCTTTGTCTTCCATATTGACTAAGCAAGATCCAACCAAAACACCATTAGGAAGATCATCCTTGCAACTGTTTAAGACAGACAATATGCCACTTTGTGGTACCTGTACTCTTCCAACGATAATTTTCTCACTCTCTGGAGGTATCCAACAGCTTTCATCGACCATTACAGAGCTGCAAGCTGGGTAACTGTTATCAAGCTTAGGGTTCCAGATATGATTTCCCTTCCAATGCGAAGGTTACATTGTCCTGTGAATATAACGGCTTCTAGGGAGTTAAGAATATCCATCCCAATTAAAACAGAATCCCGTATTGGTGCAACATATACTGGCCAATGGGTTGATTGGCTGCCAATTTGGATTGTCGCAGTGACACCTCCAAACGCAGTCATTTCTGCACCATTTTCCGCATTCATGAATTGAACTTGCTGGCAATTACTAGTAACAATCCCTGCCTCTTGGGCAATGGTAGAAGAGACAACAGTAGCATCTGCACCAGTATCCACAACACCTTTGATCTGTACATTATTCACAAAGACAGGGGTTACGATCCCTTTTCCTGCTCCGTGAAACCTTGTGCGCTTGATTTGTTCTGCTGTCTTTGATGTCTCTTCCTTTACTGTTGGCAATTTCTGTTCCTGCAATTTGACTGTTTGGGGTCTAGATTTGCAGTCACTTTTGAAGTGCCCAGTCTGTCCACATTGAAAACATCTATTTTCTATATCCTTTAGTAGGTGGTCACGTTTCACTCTCTCTTTCTCCTGATTCCGTTTTAGTTGTGACTCTGCTTGCTTAAGACGGTGGTCTAGCTGCTCCATGGTGACATATGTGAGTTTCTGAATTCGCTGCACTCTAAGAGTCTCTGCATCATCATCAGGAGGAAAATCATCATCAGAATCATCTGTCCAGGTTACCCTCCTAGTCCTTTCTCGCTTCTGATAGTCATTATATATCGCCCCACAGTGGCCCTGTAATTATAACCAGTTAGGTTTTGGTTATAAAGTTATGAAACTAATTCATGGACTATATCCGTTGTTTTGCGCAAACGGGTAAGAAGGAATCTTGGCGGTTAATACAGTGGCGGCGCTGTGGGGCCGTAATACAACGTAAACGAGAAAGGTGCCGTATTCCTTATGGTCTTCCAATATAAAGTCCAAGAACTGGTAAAATCAGGTTTCCGAATTTATTATAGACGATGGTAAATAACAATAAACATGAATTTCAACAATGGCTTACAAGTCTTAACCGAGTTGGATGTGGCCGGTAGAGCATCAGGCCTCCAAACTGAAGAAAGTATAATGGACATCGCTATTTGTTACATAGAGAGTAAACAATGATTGAATTGTGACACTTGCTGAATTAATTGATGGACAGGTGTGTTTCTTTGATAGAATGGTCATAAAAGACATTGTTAAATAATTATATAAACAAGGTAATTGATATAAGATTAACAGGTCCTGAGGCATTTACACCTAACGAGTATCAATTCCTTTGACAGTCACTTAAAAGTCAATTGGAATGTCTTAATCCTGCTTCAAAGAAAATGAGACACAATCAACTAAATAACAGACATAAAATAATTATAGATAGAGAATTTAACAGATAAACATCCAAATTTAGAATAATATATTAAAAAGATATTTTAATTTAAAAATGTTAATTTTTGTGATGGCGCTCTCGGATGTCTGGGACATAGTTCGGCGGTGCACGTTCATTGGGGAATTTAGCTCAAGGGTTTGGGGAATGTTAGGAAGCACATAAGTCCAAATTTGTAGGGTAACAATGACAGTTTATTAAAGTAACAGTGAATTCCAAACAACATAAAAACATAAAGATGCAAGTCCAAGTCCTAACTAAAATTTAGATAAAGTTGGCCTAAATAGAAATAGAATCTTAAAAATTTCTTAGTCTAATTCCTACATGGTTCTTAATTAACACATCAACTCACTAGCTCTGTCACTCTAGATCTCTCTTAACTCTCTGTATTCTCATATATATATTTTTAACTAATTGTAAGAAATTACTCAATGTAAATATAGCCAAAAGGGCAAAACTTGTCAACTAAGTAATCTGAACAATAGAATACTCAAGTGTCATACTTTGATGTCAGGAAGTCAAAGAAGATTTATTTAATTAATCTAACACCTAATCAGTGACCATTGCCATCAGGCAGTATGAGTGTAAATGATTTACAATTGCTAAGAAAGCACTAAATATTTCTGGGGAATAAGAATTAGCCAGATGTAAAATGTGTTGGTTTAGTTTCATTACTTGTGAACAAATAACTTAGGATATCAAGAATTTATCAAAGTAAATGAATTTTATGAATGATATTAAAATTATTAAGTAAAATTATAAAATATATTAAAATAAGTATCAAAAGTGAAATGGGAGCCATTTCACTGGTGATATAATTGTGCTCTTGATATGTGACAAGTTCTATTGCTTCATTAAGTGTCTTAGGGATTCTGTTTAGCACATCATATGCAATCCGGGTATTCCGGTATCCTCTTAAGAAAGATTCTGCTGCAAGTTGATCTTGCATTTCTAAGTCAGTACCAGGATAAGCTTGGGTAATTAAGCGACGCACTTCTTCACCAAACTCATCATTTGACTCTCCTTTTTGTTTAATCTCTGCCAGTTTCCTGCAAACAGTGGCTGGGGGATCTTTGCGCCCAAAGCGTTTAGTGAGGCTGTCGCGTATTGAAATGTAGTTGGCTGTTAGTGCTTTAGGCAAGGAGCAGACATACTCACATTGCCTTACCCTTCAGACTTTCATAGAGGCGGTCTATTTTCTCAGTTTCCGTCCAGTTATACCACTCTGCTAGTCTTTCAAATGGAACAAGGAAAACTTCAATATCTTCCTTGCCTTCATATGTCGGGAGTTTAGTCTGAGGACCTCTTGGTGCTGTTGGTTGTTCTCCAAGGACCTGGGTCAACCTCGGGAGCTAGGTTGATAAGGAGAGGGCCTCTGTCCTTCACTAGCTTCAATGGTCGGTCTGTTCCCCTTCGGTCTGAGGTGAAGTCAGGTGCATAACCAGCAAACAAAGGATGCTGAGATGATGGTGCCCATCCAGAAGTCGCATGACCATGTTGGTGCAACATCTGAAACCTATGAACTAACCGGAGGATACTGTCCAGTGTGCATCAATCCCGAAGCCGCATTTGGCCTCGGGGTTGAAGCAAATGCTGGGATTCTTAGGGAATGACTTATCTCTTCCTTTGATTCCTCAAGAAATTTCTGAAACATGGCTTGCTGTATAGCAATCTGTTTTGTTGAAGATTCTTTTTATTCCTACATAGTTTGCGCAAATAATTCTTGATTTTGTTGCTGCTGTCTGTCAAAAGAAGAACTGAAAGACTCAAGTGTCTTGTGCAGCCAGACGTTGTCATCCTCATTTCTATTATCAGTCGCTATTCCGCTGTCACTATAGTTAGTATCCTTCATCATTGCACCATCAGTGTTTTCGGCCTCGTTCGTCATGTTGGAATGAGAGGAACTCTTGTTCGTCTACCTCCAGTGTATCACACGGGGTGTAACACACCTTAATAATGTCAAGCTTAAGTCGCCTTAACCTCTTCTGGGACAAAAGATAGCCTGGGTGCAAACCGTCTGATAGCAACTCAAAAAAGTATCTCTTTTTACCCCGTCTGGAATCCCGCAAGTCAGCGTTGAATTTAAGTGTGTTTCGACCTAGCTCTCAGTTTATCTGTTCAATATGTGTATTGAGAAGATCTACCTGTTTTTCAACTTCTTGGTCCGAGTCGAGGAATATTGTTGGATTCTGATGCCCCTTGATATCGTTGTACAGAGAAACTAAATAAATAGATATGCCAATAAACTTAATTCGGCAGTTATTCCCAAGAATAAAATATTTGGCCCTGTGTAGCTGTTTCACGACAGATGGCACTGTATCAATTGCCTTACCACGAATGTTAATGTATTTTCCTTGTTTTTTGTTATATCACAAGTTCCACCCCAAAAATAAACTGTTACTGGCTTGTGCCCTTTAGCAAGATGAGGGAACTCTTGTATCAATAGGTCTACGAGCTCCTTGGTCGTTTCCCCGTTCTTATATAGGAAGATGAGTGGCAAGGATGTGTCCTGTCTTATCTGCTCCAATCGAATGCCTTTACTGTCAGAGAGCAAAATTGCTATGCTTCGTGACTCTTCCTGTGGAACTACCAATGGTCGTGACTCTAGGAAATGCACCAAATCCTTTACCAAACCATACAATAAACTTTGTTCGCAGTGAACAATGAAAATAATTTGATGTCCAAAGTGATTGCTGTGAGCACCAAGGGCATGCAAATTCTTAAGTGATATATATATTTTTTTTTTTTAATTTTATTACTTCTAATTATCTAATTCTTCTCAAAATATAAATGAATAAAATTTTATTTCCAATAATCTTCATGAATTTACTTGTAATTTACTCGAAAACTCTACTTGTAAAAATTGTTTTGCTTTTTATCTAAAAAAAATTGATGCGAGTATTGTTGTTTAATTTGTAAACACCCTGTACCTCTAGAACTTTAATTCTATAAATAGATTACATCAACAAACATACGGTTTGTACGATAAAGTCAATCAAAACTAGTACATGTTTAATATTGAATTAAAGAAACAAGGTTTTTCTGAACACGGCAGTGACTAGTTACTGAGTACCTCGAGATATTCCCAATCGGCACCCCCATACATTGCCGTGAAACATGTGCGCTTCGCTTTCACAATATGCAACTCGTCAAAGTAACAAGTATCCGTCCTGATGTGGAACAATCCTGGACGAATCCCACTTATGTGACACCAGTTGTAGTGCTTTTAGTTGACGGTACCACAAATCCCGCTAATATATAGCGAACAAATAACAAACGCGAGCTGGCCACAAAATATACTTGTATTGTGTACTGTATAAGCCCGCGTAATCATGGGGAGATAACCAAAAAGAACACTGTAAAAATGGAAAATAAAAGATGTGTGTAAAATCAGTCCGTTTGCACCACAATATGTTTTACTTAAATTTGGAAGTACTACCGAGAATTTTTTTATGTTGATTTTTATTAGCCCAAAAATTATTTGGATTTACTTACCGCAAATAAAATGTACAATTTATGTATATGTTTCAGTTATGAACACAATCGTGCCCCTCAAAGGAATTTTTTTTATA